AATCAAGTTAGAAATGGTGGTTTGGACCAGGGTATTTTCAGAGGAGATGTTATGAAGTGCTCGGATTCTGGATAAAGAATCTTGAGTGTATGGGCTTTAGAGAGGAAAGCCAGCGTATTTTTCTGATGGGTTGGGTACGGGTGTAGGAAAAAGAGAGGCATCAAAATGGTGATTTTTAGTCTGAAAGACAGAGTGGCCATCAACAGAAATGGAGAAGAAAGCGCCAGTGTTGGCTTAGTATTTTGCATGTGTGATCTGAATTACTCCTCAGCAGCTCTGTGAGTGTCGGAGCCAGCCGACAATTGATCAGGTCCGGAAACCTGTGCCGCAGGACTGAGAAAAGAAAGACAAGACTAAAAGGTGGGGTTGAGAGGGTCTCACTCTAGCCCGCAAGACGCTAAGCCAAGAGTGGACCTCGAGTTTATTTCAGGCAGTTAATTTATACAAATTCAAGTGACTACCTTGTGCATTCTTGCACGTAGGCACAGGTATTGTTTCATGGTTTAAACACAGTGTGTACTAAACTCACTAACTTGTGCATTGTTCTATAGATCAGTGTTGTTTATAATACTCATAAACTAGGGTATATGTTCCCACATACCAAGATCACTAACTAAGGTGGTTGTTTCTATAAACTAAGATCACTAACTTGTATGTTGACTGTATCTCTCTGTTCAAAGATCATCAGTAGCTTAATGGCTCAGGATGTTCCTAGGGCTTTTAGATCACCTGGTGCATTCTTTCCTGAAAAGGGGTGGCAGGACAGAGATTGTCTTTGTTAGATCAATCTCAGAGCCTGACACCAGCACTTTGGGATTTATTGTCCCGTTCTGTGCTCGGCAGTCCTCAGGTCATGAGTGGCTCCCCGCATGTGAGGTAGGCTGTGGGACAACAGACCGTGTAGACTGTAGGTAATAAAAGGTCTCATGGAGTTTCTGTAATGATTAGTGACTTGACTCTGCCCAGCACGGTGCTCGCGTCGGGGTCCCCAGGACCACCCCTAGGTTCAACGGTTCATTGGGAGGACTCACCGGACTTGGCATATAGTCCGACTCTGTGCTATGAGTGATTCCAGCAAAAGCAAAATCAGCGAAGGGAAGAAGAGCGTGGGACAGAATCCACAGGGAACCGGGTGCAAGCTTCCAGGAGTCCTCTCCCAGCGGAGCCACAAGGGATGCACTTAGCTCCTCCGGCGTCGAGTTGTGCAGCACGTGGACTGTTGCCAACCAGGGGGCTCATTAGCGATTCAGCATCTGAGCTTTTCACCGGGGGCTGGGCACGCAGGCACCATCAGTCTGGCACGCACCAAGATTCCAGCATCACAGAGGGAAACCGGGCATTCAGCAGAAATCATCGCATTGTTTGCACAGACAGTTTAGGTGCAGTGAGTCAGTCTGAGGGAATGATGGGAACCCCCTCAAAATCCACGTTCCCAGACGCCAGCCAAGCTACCCTGGTAAGCAGCACTTTCTGTGGGTGGCGGTGTCAGGCCTGCTGGCCTAACTCTTCTCTGCACAGCACTCAAACTTTATCTCCCTTTTGACTTGGAGAGACAGGAGAGCTGAGGCTCACAGAATTGGGGTGGCCTTCCTACGGACACACAGCTAGCAGGTGGCCAGGCCGAGATTTGGGATCGAGGTTTCATGGAAGAAAAAACCCTGAGAAAATTCTTTCTGGGGCCAGAAGACCCTCTACAGTACAGTGCTGTCAACTAGAGCTTTCTGCAGTGATGGAAACATTCTATATCTGCACTGTCCAATATGTGGCTATCGAGCACTTGAAATATGGCTGGGATGACTAAGGAGTGATTTTGAATTTTATTTAATTTTCAACTAATTGAGATTTAAGACACTTCACGTGGCTAGTTGCTGTCGTGCTGGACAGCACAGTACTACATCCTAACGTAATGGATTTTTCTTCTCGGGGGAAGCAGATGAGATAAATAGACCTTGGCTCGTGTTCTAAGCTCCGAAGTGCGCTGGCCTGCGCGTCCCTTTCAGCGGACGTCCTCGTGTGGGCGCAGCAGTGGAAACTAACGTAATATTTGCAAATTCCCCGGAAAAAGCCCCTTTTTGTTTGCTTGGCTTTCTGTTACTAAAGAATAGGAAGGGGCTTGCCCCTTTAAAAGTAAAGCATTCAGGCAGACCCCCTGGAGGGGATTCTGAAGCCCTTCCTGGTGAAGCAGCCTTGCTGGACCCAGGCTGCCCCCTCTCGGGAGTGTGACCTGCACAGCCAGTCCGCAGGCCTCAGTGTCACTGAAGAGCGGGGTGTGCTCCAAGTCAAGGTTGACTTTCTACCTACTTGTACCTTCTCTGTCTGCTTTTGGGTGAAGAGCTTATGAGCAGTCAAATAACCAGAAGCCTAGAGAATGGAAGAGATTTTTAAGAACCTATAGTTGGTTAGATAACTGAGCCTCACTCCTCTCGGGTCCATCCAACCCCAGGGGACGATATGGTCCATGGGGGGGCACGCTGGCTGGGTCTGGTGAAGGCCAAGGAGAGCTGATAGGTGGGGATGTCGAAGAAGCTGGAGAAAGTGGCACAGACGTTTGCACAGTAGCTTTGGAGTGAATTAACCTCAGTAGGAATCCTGATCCCAATGCGTCAGGAAAGTGATTTAAGGTCCCTGAGCCTCAGTCTCTTCCTCTGTAAGACGGGGAGATTATCGTGAAAATTAAGTGTAAGCCTCAGTCGTACCGGCTGCTTGCCTCCGGGCTGTGATTGCCCTGGTTGCCTGCAGGCCAGGACAGGTTGTGGATGGTGGAGGCACAGAAAGTAGAGGCTGGGTTGCCAGTGACCCGGTACCCCACTCATTCCAGCAATTCCCCTTCTGCCTGATGTCCGTGAATATCACCCGCATCGCCATCCAAGCCTTGAGGGAGGAGTGTCTGTCCAGGTGAGTCCCCACGCTGCTAACACCCACCCTGTCCCCAAGCCCTGGCCAGCAGAGCCTGGTGCCCTCCCACCCCTGCCTCATCCTCCCCAGCTCTCTTCCTCACTCATCCGCTGGCTCCCGGGGACCTGGACGAAGTCCCCGTGTATGAAGGTCCCAGCCCATCTCTCCTCCCCTACTCTGACCTCAGATGTGAAGGCTGCCTGGGGAAGGGCTCCCCTAGGGAAACAGGGAGAGAGGACCCCCCCCAGGTGTCAGCCTTTGTCCACTGCTGAGCAGGTGATCCCCCCCCCATCCTTCAGGGAGTGTAACCGGCGGCAGCAGGTGATCCCGGTGGTGAACAGCTTCTACGCCGCCACCTTCCTCCGCCTGGCGCACGTCTGGAGGACGCAGCACAAGACCATCTCAGACTCAGGCTTTGTCCTCAAAGGTGTGCTCGCTCTTCCCGGGAGTCCTCGCTCCTGCACTCCTAGTGGGCCCAGGTTCAGGGACCCCAGGTGGCTGCTAGACTGGTTTTGGCCACATCCCTGTTCACACAGTGTCAAGTTCAGCTTCCCTGAGTCTCCATCAGCACCCCCTCGGGAGCCCACTCTTCTCCTCTGACGCCATCACCTCCCTCTCTGGCCTCATACCCCCGGCCATCATATTTTCTGATTCAAAAGCTGGGCCCAACCCCTGGACTGACTATTCAAAGTTGAGATTGTGCCAGACAAGTAGAGTGTGTGGCCCCTGTGGCCGTATCTGGTTCCTTGGCCTCCTTGTCTGGAGAGCTCTCCCTCTTAGAAGATGCCTTCTTCCTTCTCTCCAGAGGCTCTTGGTTGGGCGTGTGCCCCAGAGTTGCTAGGCCCTGATGGTTGTGCAAGCCAGAGCCCCCGCAAGCCTTCTGTTCCCCAATCCTCTGTTCCAGACTTGGAAATGTGGGCCAAGAAGAGCCCCCGGCGGCTGCTCAAGACCCTGGAGATCTACTTGGCCGGTGTGTCAAAGGGACAGGCCTCCTTGTTGGGAGCACAGAAGTGCTCTGGGCCACAAGCCCCTCCATCCAAGGACCTGACTTTCACAGGCGTGTGTGACTTGCCACCGCCCTCATCCAAAGGCACGTGGCTGATCTGACCCACCCCCGCAGCTGACTGACGGGGAGCCTTGAAGGGGCTTTCGGCGGGCGCCCCGTGGCTGGGCCAGTCCCCTTCCCGCCCTAGCGGAAGGGATGTAGGAAGCCTGTGAGCCTGGTCAGGGGAGCCAAGGACCCTCACCTGCATGAGGTACTAGGGGCTGTTCGATTTGACCCACTCCCCGCAGACCTGCCCCCAGAGCAAGGAGGCCTTTGCCTAATCGTAGCCGGGCCGCAGCTTCCAGAGTCGAGTTCCAGGTAGTCTCAGTGCGAGTGACTGGTCGTGAGGCGGGACCCCCTCGGGGTGTTCCGCACAGCCCCACGTGGGGGATGTTCCCAAGCAGAGGTGCTGAAATTCTGACTCCCCACGGGCTTTCAGGCCCCAGGGGTCCACAGGACAGGGACCAGACGGGGACTGAGTCAGAATGTGAAGGGAGAGGGTAGCAGTGGCGGCTGACGGAGGGGGGCGGGGGGGAGCGGCAGCGTGAACCAGAGCTGCCCGAGAGTGCAGCTGGGCCTGCTGTCCTCCTCCGTCCCCCAGGCCAGTTAGAGGGAGAGGGGCCCCTCTGAGCGTCTCTGGCCTTGCTCTCTTCCCCCCCTCACTTCTCCCCATCCCTCCCCCTCCCCGCCGTTTGGGATACACAGCCAGGCGCCAGGCCAGGTGTCTCTGCTACCGCCCACCCTGTCGTCTCATCTAGCTGGGCTCCCCGGCGGAGGCTGTGCGGGTCCCATCAGGGAGGGGTTTCTGGCCTGGCTGAGGGAAGGAGGAAGCTCACATACGAGCAGTTTTTGAATAAAAGAGTTGTTCTGGGTTAAGGGTCTCAAGTTTTGTCCTTCCTAACAAGCTTCGCACCTTCCTGTGGCCCTTTTATCCCAGGGTCCCCATTAGAACCAGGCACGCGGCCCAGCGACAGCCTAGTTCTCCCCTGCACTGGTCACAGGCCCCCGAGAGAAGGCTGCTCTGCCCTGGCCAGACTCCCGCCGAGTTCATAGGCTTTCCGGCCGCACCCTGCTGTGACCGCGGGCCCCGAGGGTGGGCCAGGACAGCTGCAGTCCCACCAGGCCTCGCAGACTCCCGTCCCTCTGATCCAGGCTTAGCTTACACAGCTCTCGCCTTGCTCCTGCCCCGCCGGTTCACACCCTCCAGGGTAAGACTGCTTTGGGGCCACTCCATTCTCCCCTTGTTTCGCTCTCTAACCTCTTTGATAGTCCAGCCACCACCCCATTACACAAGAGGATGAACTAGAGCCTGGACAAGGAAGAGCTACTTGCCCGGGAGCAAACAGGCAGGTGAGAACCAGAACCTATGACCCTCGACGCTAGTCTGATGCTTTTCCCCACGTGGCCCTGAGCTCATCAGCTGAACACACGATGCAGCGTGCTTATGACGTGGCAAGCTGGACTCCTGCACAGAGGACTTGCCTTTTGCTTGGCAAACATACGTCATTTGGAAGCTGCCTTGCAGTGGTTTATTAGGGCATCTGAGTTAATAACTGGCTTGAATGGAGATGCATCCCATGCCTGCCGCCACAGTCTTGTCCCCATTGGGAACGTGAGACCAAACTGAGCCCCAGGCTGAAAGTGCCCCGAGGCCTGGCCCTGCGCCACCGCCCTCCTGGGTTCACGGCAGTGCCTGCCAGGCCCGCTGGCCTCCTGGCCCCTCTGCCTGAACCCTGCAAAGCCAGCTCTGGCCCCTCAGAGGCTGTGGAATTGTCATCTGGGTCCCGCCCCGCCCAGCGTGGGGATGAGCCGGGTGAACAGGCGGGGCAGGGAGAGTGAGCCTGGGGGCAGGCAGTGTAGGCAGAGAGCAGGAAGGGCGCTGGTCTCCTTTACTGAGCATCCGCGGGGGCACCTCGGCACTGACCGGGAAGGCAGAGTAGCCAGCAGGCAGGCAGTGGGGCAGGGAGACACCTGCCTTCATTTCCAGTCCTTGAAGAATTGCTTGAAGATGGGACTCTCGCGGCCCTGGGGCAGAATCTCCACCTGCAGGGACAGCAGAGGATGTCTCGCTCACAAGGGGGCCACCTCTGCCTCTGTGGAGGGCCAGGGCCATGGAGGAGGGTGCCGGGCACTAGGCCTGAGCTGACACGCCACCCAGACCAGGGATGCTCCTCCAGATAAGCCAAGAGATGAGCAAGATTACAGGCATGCAGGCTGAGAAAACAGACTGCTTCAAGGACTCGGGTGCAGGTCGAGAGGGGCACCAATTGCACACGGGCTTTACCAGCTCTCCTCAGAATGACCTGTGGTGTCACTGGGCTGGGGCAAGAAGGGGCGGTACCAGCTAGGGACCACAGCCCAGAGGAGGCGCATGTGCTGTCCAGAGGCACACAGGCTCGCTGGGCTCCCGGGGGAGTGGTGCCCAGCACCCCCTTAGAAAATAGCACATATTGTAAATCTCTGAAGGGCTGAGAGGGGTTTTCCCACTGGGCAGGTCTGGGAGGGAGGCCTGGCTGCTCCTGACTGTGCCCCAGGCCTTCCTGCCCTCCTTGTCCCATCCGAGAGGCGGGAGGCCATGGGGAGGGCCCCAGGAGGGGGGCACGGGGGCACGGGGGCAAGGGGATCGCCTCACCTGAGTGTTTGCGGGGTACCGCATGCGGGAGATGAAGTCCTCGGCAACCTGCAGGGCTGCCTGCCGCTCCTTCTCGTTAGCTTTTCGCCCTGGATCATAGGGAGGAGAGTTTTCCAAAGAGCAGGGCCCCTCTCTTGCCCACATCCCATTTCTCTTGAGATTTAAGGGGGTCCACAGAATAGCTGGCACCTTTGAAAATAAATGGACCAGGGGTATCTCAGTGGCAGAGTGTGTGCTTAGCATGTGCAAGGTCCTGGGTTCAATCCCTAGTACCTCCATAAAATAAAGTAAGATAAGATAAAATAAAAAATAAACTAAAATAAAAAATTAAACCAAATTAAGTAAAATAATCAAATTAAATAAAATGATAAAATAAAATAAAAGGACCAGGAGGTGCTAAGAATGCTGAAGGGCTCTCTGGAGGTGGGAGGTCAGCCCCTCCCAACCTGGCAGCTCCAGATGAAACCTGCCCTCTGCCCGCTCTAATCGTCAAAGCCTTCTGCTCAGACCAGGGCCCCAGGGAAATTCCAGGAGAACCAATGTCTCCCTGGCATCAGACTCCAAGGCCCCTCGCCTCTTGAGTCTGTCAACTGCACTGTTGTCAAGCCTTTTTCGTAAAACTAAACAGGACCAAAGGGTGTGATTTACTATCCATCTTACTCCCACAAAGCCAGATGCCAACATCAGCTTAATGGTTATGCCAGCAAAGAGCAATAAAAGGGAACAGCCCGGTCCTCCCTCCCGGCCTGCAGGCGGTCCCTTTAACCAAACTGTGCTCCCCTTGTTTTTCCAAGGAAGCAAGGCTCTGTGGTTGGCTCTCCAGCCAGGCTGTAAAAATCTACTTAGTGAAAATGTATCTGAAATGAATGTGCTGTATCCTGCTTCTGTGATTGCAAGACACTTCTCTTCCTGGCTCCCAAGCTTCCTGTTTCTCCTCTGGGTTCTCGGTTCTTCTTTGGGATTAAATACACTCCCGTGGGCATCTGGGAACATCACCCCCCACCCCCATGGGCAGAACTGGTTCCGCGGGAAAGGTACCCAGAGGCAGGGTACCTTTCCCAGCAGCACTTCTCCCCCTCCCCCACCCGCTTACCTCTTAGAAATCTGCCCGGCCTCGTGCCACTCCTGACCCGTCCCTGAGGCAACAGTGTTACTGCCCTGTAGCTGCCAGGCTAGAACACCTCATACTCACCCTCCTGGCTGAGACTTTCTCTTGGTTTTGCTTGACCCCGCAAATATTTACTGAGCAAATGCTATCTCCTCAAGACAGCAGAGAGAATATGTTTCCAGCTTTCAAGAGGTTTCTAATCTGGGCAGGGTGATGGGACATCCAAGAAAAGACAGCACAGAGAAGTGGCCCCCTGTATCTCTCAGAGACCCAGAGCTTTGTTTCAACATTTTCAGAGTGGGATCTAGCCAACAGGCTTCCGCACAGCAGTGTCTTATTTCCAGCCAGTGCAATCTCCCGGGAAAACGAGTTCTACTGGTTTACTATCCACTGCGTAAAGGGAGATTTAATATCTAAAGTCTGTCTGTCACACCGCAAGGTAGAATGGTAGGAACGGGGGTCCCAGCAGCCCTGAAGGCCCAGGAGAGCTCTGTGCCAGTGGTCCTCAACATGCGGTCCCTGGACTGGCGGCACGGCCTGGGAACCGGTTAGATGGTTAGACGTGCAAATTCTCAGGCTCCGCCCGACACCTTGTGAATCAGAATCTCATGGGGTGGGGTCCAGCTATGGGTTTTAACAGGCCCTCGGGTGCTTCTGAGGCAGGCTAAAGGTTCAGAACCTTTGCCTGGAATTAAGGAGCCAGGACGGCAAAGAGAAACCCCTCAGCCATGGAGGCGCCCTGAGGCTGCCTCTGAAAGCCGTCGGCTGGCTGAGCCCTGCTGTGGGGAGACCCCCGGGTCAGAGCAGCCGCAGGGGTCTCAGGTCGGGGTGGAGAAGCCCCACGTACCCTTCCAGATGTAGATCTTGCCACAGAGCCCGTTGTCCAGCACAAAGCAGTCGTCGGGGATCAGCAGCTCAAGGGCAAAGGGGCTGGAGTCGGCCACCTTGGTCAGGTTCATCTGCCCGGTGGCATCAGAGACCTGCGGGAGAGTGGGCAGCGCTGGATCACCCTCCTCCCCGCAGCACACGGAGCAGGCCGCCTCTCCACCCACGGCCCCAGGCCAGAGCAGCAGACCTGACCAGAGGAATCACGGCAGGCAAATCCTGGGCCCCACCCCACCCTCACTTCACCCTCAGTCACTGCCTCCCAGAGCCCCCAAGTTCCTTTGGAAATTGAGGAGACTCCAAATTAACAAACAAGTGCAAAGCATTCAAAACAGTAAAGCTTGGCTTGTTTCAAACCTCCTTCTCCAGAAGGGCGGAAGTGACTGGCGCGCCTCTCCTCGGGGGCCCGGCCTCCGCCCACTTCCCATCCTCCTCTCCCTCCGAGCCCTGGGTAAACCAGCCTGGTGCCAGGCCCAGCCTGCCCGCTGCTTTCTCCTCTCCCTTCAGCCCCACGCACACCAGGCTTACACCCCCTGCCGGGTCCCAGGGCAGGCCCGGAGCGCCCACCTTATACAGGGCCGCAGCCTGGGCGTTTGTCCGGTCGGCTGTGAGGTCTTCCTCGGGGTTGCCCTCCTTCAGAGCCGGCTTGGGGCCCAGGACCTGCAGGGGCCAGGGCAGGCCATGTTTCCAGGGATTCCCGGGCACCTGGCCTGGACCTTCCCACCCCATCAGGCCCAGGGCCACCGCCTCTGGTGGGACAAACTGCGTCTGCTGCACAAGGGTGCCAGGCAGAGGTGGGGAGGGCTAGGTCCACCTGCCCGGCCACCGGTCTCTCCACCCTCAGGGAGACTTGACTCTGAGTCCCACCAAGGTAGCCACTGAGCTAGCCAAGCCCTGAGCAGCGCCCCACCCACCACCTCCGGGTCAGCCCCCCAGCTGATCACTGCCTCTCTCAGGAGCTTCCAAGCAGAGGCCACCGGCCAAGTCCTCTCAACCTGGATCATGTCGGCAGGCTCCTCCCCGTCAGTGATGATCTCCACCTGGGCCTTGCCCTGCCGCTCACTGTCCCGGATGGCCAGGGCCAGGTCCCGCGCCTTGTTACGCTCCAAGATGTTGGACTTTGCACCACACCAGGTGAAGATGTTCTGGAGGGCAGTAGGGAGGATCAGGTTAGAGCCAGCTGCCTGTGTCCACAGAGCTAACTGTCCTCGGAGGCAAGACGATCAAAGACAAGCAAGGGCCATGGCCTCT